CCGTTACAAAAAATAATGGCAACGCTCCCCTGAGGAAAACCGGACGCGCCCGGCAACCGAGCGGCCCGGCCAACCGCGGGAAAACGTCACTTCCGCCCGCGGCGTCACGTCCGCGAGGTTCGCGGGCCGCGGGCGTCAAGAGGGGGACCGGGGCGGCGGCGGCAGAGGCGGCGGCGGCGGCGGCGGCGGCCGGGGAGGGCGCGGGCGGGAAGCCGCGGGAGAGCCGCGCCTGCCCGGGCCTGTCTCCGCCCGCGTCGTCCCCGTGGGCGGCGCCAGCCGAGGCGGGGCGGGCCGCTCCAGGGAGCCGCGGCCTCTGGGCGATCGCCGGACGGGGCGCGCCCCTCGGCAGGCCCGCGCGGCCGGCAAAACAAAAACAAACGTGCCGGGCCAGTGGGAGGTGGGCTCGGCGGCGGGGTGGGCGGTCCCGGGTGGGGCCACGGCTGGCCGCCGGGAGACGTCGGGGGGTGGGGGGCGGTTCAGGGAGGGGAAGAGGGGCGGTGAACGGAGTCCCGGTGTGGAGCGAGTCTTTTCTGAGGTCGAGAACCGGAGGCGCCGCCGTCTGAGCCGGGCAGCTCTTTTTGCACGAAATGCGAAAACCAGTCGGCCGGGTGGACCGGGCTTGGAAGCGAAAGCAGAAACCAGTTTACTGTGTCGGAGCGCCTGATCCGGCCTCCTTTCATAATTGCCCCTCAGAAACGGCCCGTCGGGCTGGGAAGGTCTGCATTCCACTTTGCGTGTTGGGAATGGGAGCTCGGGGACTTAATTGGCCCTTGTCACATAGCAGGTGGGTGGCAGAGGACTTGAACCCCAGGAATAGTTGACTCACCGTGTCGCAGACGCACAGACATCAGAAAAGGACATACTAAGACCTACCGCCACCAAACCCCAACCGTGCCTCTTCCATTCGCTTTTCACCAGTCAGTCTTCCTCTTTGGCTCCCCAACCCCCCCAAACCGTGCCTCTTCCATTCGCTTTTCACCAGTCCGTCTCCCTCTTTGGCAGTCCTTATTGGTGGCCGTCACACAGCTCCCTAACTGAAGTGCTGTGAATAAAATACAGTTGTTGTTCTGGTGTAAACTCTCTTGGAACCGCAGAGCGAGGACTAAGGAAGCTGGAACTTAAATGCGTAGGTTGCAAGCCTGGGCTCATTCTCTGCCTTGATGTGTGAAGACTCGGCATGCTCGGGCCTCCTTCATATGTTCCTTGTAGGCCAAATGTTTCTCAGGGCGTAGAGCCCAGGTTCAGATGCAGCCACCGAGAATGAATGGAATTAAGACAGCAGTTGAGTTCACCTTGTCCCAGATTTAGGCAAGAGCTCAGGCTACATTCAGTCTAGGTTTGGGGGATATGGCGGACACTGCAGGGAGCCTTATAAAAACGATATACAGGAACGGCAGGGCCCTGCTTCATAATTATCAGGAGAATGTGACACTGGCCAGTTGATGCCACTGTGGTAATTTGTGGCAAGCTGCTCTGGGGGTAAGGCAGAATGGCAAAAGCATCTGGGTCCTCAGGCACGTTAACAGAGCTGGGGACTGGTCATCTCTGCTGGTACTGACCTCAGGCCGATGGCCAGCTATTTGTGTCAGGGGTCATTGTAACTGATATTTCTCCCATAAGCCCATTTTAACATATAGACTAAATCTGAGCCTGACCTCGTAGTTCAGGCCTGTAATCCTGGGCCTGTAATGTTCTAATGCTGAGGCAAGAAAATCACACGTTTAAGACCGGCCTTGGCTGTAGAGTGAGTTCAGCTCCAACCCGGGCAACTTTGTAAGGCTTTTGTCTTGCAATGAAAAGTATAAGTCTAGGATATAACGTAATGGTAGTGTCCTTGCCTAGCCCGTGAGGAGGTGCGATGTCAGGACCCAGGAACACACACACACACAGTAAATCAAATTTCAGACTTCATTACAGCCTTAGCATCTAGTAAAGTATTGGGCATTGGCCACATGAGAACATAGGGTACTTAATGAAATTATGGACAATTAAGTTAACTCTCTTCGTGTGTAGATGTTACTTGTTTTATTTGAATGTAGTTCATCAACACAATTGCAAACGAGATTTTTCAATTTACAGAACGGTTATCTTTACCAAGAATGTGAAAACTTGTCTCAGAAATAAAAATAAATAAATAAATAAATGGGGCAAGGCTGGGAATGCAGCTCAGTGAGGGAAGGTGGAGGGTGGGCAGCGGCGGAGGAGGAGAGCTGGGGGTGGAGAAAGGATTTGAAAACATTTTAAAGCTTTTCTGTTTGTGGTAGTTTGACACAATGAAACATCTAGGTATAGAGAATCCAGGTGCTCTCCAACCCCGGTGGAATGTTCTGGTTTGTTTTTTTTTGTTTTTTGTTTTTTGTTTTTGTTTTTTTTCACATACCAGAGGACCATGTGACAATGACTGAAATTGTAAGGTTAGTTTGTCTCCTGCTATTCAGAATAAGTAGAAATCTGTAATATGTACATATATATTAAATATTTATTGTTATTTGTAAAGTCCTTTAGTCCTTTTCGGTTTTTTAAATTGAGCATGGTTTTGAAAATTCACAGCTAAAGTAAGGAAGTAAAATTTTTGTCATTTCTTTTGGACCTTACAGTACTTTTTTTTTTTAAGCTTGTCTTGCTTTGTAAGCAAAAGACACGTTTGTAATGCAGTAGTAACAGTGCTAGTACATTACACAATAGTCATAAAAATTACTTCAAAGAACTAAAGCCCTAAAGGTTTCTACTGATAACTTAGAACTATAGTTTCTCATTTATCTAGTAGGAGGCTGAGACAGAATAATTCCAAATTCAAGGCCTGCCTGGGCTCCAGAGTGTGTTCATAATCAGCCCTAATAACTTTGTGAGACCCTCTCTCAAAATAAAGAGAAATGGGGATAACTTGCCTATTTTGTGTGAGGACCAGGTTCAGTCCATGGTGCTGCAAAATAAAACCCATCTCCCATTTATTCCCAGCCATAGCTCTTGGCGCTGGCAATAAAGCCATCAAACTTGAGTAACAGTTAAATAACTAAAATATAAAGAAATTAGTTATGAACTTGTTAACCGTCTTGAATATTTGCTTTCTACCAAAATAAGCTTCAAAGACCCAACAAATCACAGATCCCGACCAGGCTGAACCCTGAACTCAGAAAGCCATCTGCCTCAGCCTCCTGAACGTTGGGACTAAAACTGAATACCACCCCACACAGCCAGAACCTCTTTCTCTCACTGTAGGCCTATTGAAATGTAGCTTTAATTCTGTGAGCCAGCTTTTGAAACAGGATGCCAATAAAAGTTTAAGGATAATTTTTTAAAGTAAGCATTGCTTCCTCCACTGTGGATAAAAGTTTATTGCCCAGGGGCTGGAGAGATTATCAAGAACACTACTGCTCTCACAGAAGACCCAGTTTCAAGACCCAGCACCCACATGGTGGCTCACAACCATCCATAGCTCCAGTTCTAGGAATCCGGTACCCTTGTCTGGCCTCCTTGGACACCAAGCATACATGAGTACACAAACATACATGCAGGCAAAGCACATGCATAAGAAAGTGAAGTTTATTGTCTCAAGTATCTTCTCCCATTGCCATCATACCTTTTGAGAAAAAGGTTTCTGTAGTATTGATCATGTTATTAAAATATATAAACAATTCAGCTATGTATTCCTTCAAGTCACATGTCATCAATCTAAGCAAACTAAATGTAGCTAAGGGATCTCATTTAACAAACAGAGAACATATCTCACTGCTCACATTATCTGTACTCATCTGTTTGGACATATTAAATCATGTTATTTTTTAATTCTTTTCCTCCCATTTTATGTTTACCCAAGTTTTATTTGCTGAATGTAATTTTATTTCTGGTTAATCTGAGAAAAATCTCAGTTTATATTTAGTGTGTCTTTATTGTTTTCATTTAATTTTCCTGGCAATTCTTTGTGGTTTTCTGAGACAAGATCTCACACCATAGCCAGAGCTGTCCTGGAATTCACTGTGTAGCCCATTCTTGTCTCAGATTCCTGGCAGTCCTCCTGCCTCAGCCTCCCAAGTGATGGAATTATGCCCAGTTTAACAATTTGTTTGTGTTTCTCTTTCCAAAAGTATAAATTCATGGCCATTGGGAGATTTAAGAGAATGAACAGTTCCTTTGCAGAGAGTATGGGAAACAGCTGGCCTTTGAAGAACTTCAATTCCTCATGGTGGATTCAAGACCATGAATCACTTCCCTTATGTGTGTGCTTCATAGATTCTTTCAGGTTTCAAGAACAGAGACCTGGGAGGTTTATCTCAATTACTAAAGGTTAATGATGTGCTGGAATAGGGCAAAGTGATGGAAACAAAGCAACAGCAATAGCCCTTTCTGCATACACGTGTATTCCAGGATGACAGAGGATGCTCAGCCAATAGGACCCCAGTTCCTCACGATGGTGACTGTTATTCTTCATCTCTTCACAGTTGTTATACCTCTACCCTGACTCCCCTTCATGCCACACATGAGGTGTGTGTTTACACACCTCAGCAGAGAGAATATAAATAATTCACCTTCAAAATTGTGGTTTCCATCAGCGGGACCAATTACATCATTTCCAAGGCTCCAGAGAAAATGAAAAGTTAGAACCCTTGTTTACAAATTACTAAGAATCTCAAGATTGTGGCAGAGCACTAAACTAATGCGACGAGCTTTGTAGAAGAAGGTGCAATGTGACTTCAGTAACTCAAGATGTGCACAAGCCAGCCAGTTGATGAAGGTAGGTCCACAGCCACGTTAAAAAGAAAGCTGTATCTCTTTGCCTGGTCTGGCCTGGTCACAGGATGCAAAATTTTAAAGTATGGCCTTAATCTTATCTCCAAATACAATCATTCTGAGCTACAGAAGAATTTGAGATGCCAGCATTATGCATTTGGAGGAAATACAGCTCAGCTCATAACATTTATGGGAGTAATGTTGGCAGGACTCTAAACTCTCCTCTAATAAAGAGGGTAAATATTTCTCAAAGCTTATGAGAGAAGAAATTAAACAGCCAAACATATCTAGTTGTCACATAAGCTCTAACTTATAGCTCAAGGGCACAGAGAGATAAAGATGACAAGCAGGCCTTTTAAAAAGAAGAAGAAGAAAAAGCCTTTATCATAATGTTTGTATTGGACTCACATTGTAACACCCTCTTTGCATGCTAAGCTCTTCACTGCCAGCAGCAAGGCCCAGTAAAGGTGACCAAAGCAGCAAGCTACTGGCTTACTGCAGCTCAAGCCAATGAAGTTACTACACTACAGGAAGAAATGATTCCACATCCAGGTTACATGGGTTTTGTCCTGTAAAGAAAAACAGTACCTTGTGGTTTAAAATGTAGCCCTCAAAGTTCGTATGTTGGAAACTTCATCCCCTCTGCCATACTGCCAAAAGCTAAGACTCTGAAGAGATGGCAGAGACCCTCAGATATTTGTCCTAAGGTCATGACAGACCAAAACAACAGCTGAATGGGCTTATTGACATTTTCTATTCCCTAACCATGAGTTGCATGAAGGAGCTGAAGACATATTCATTTCCCTACGAATTTTAACAGCAACCATTTGAGTGCACAACACCTAACCTGGTTTCCACCAAACCACCACCAGGCCTGCCATGAAGAATGGGAGGCAGCCATATCATTTACATGTGGTTTTTCTCACCATTCTTAACATAAGGTAGTCCTAAGTAAGGCAATTAGAAGTAGGGTTTACAAATAGGTCATACTGAAAGCTTTTCCTGCTTAGAAAAATACCATTATTGTTTTAGCTTCATCTTTTTGTGTTATAGGAATAAAAATATTTTATGGTTTCCTCTGTTTTATCTCATTGTCTTAATAATATGATAATCTATATATGCTTCTTTTAATTCCATTTTTTCAGTTCACATAATGGTTGCCAATTGCAACTGGTATATTCCCCTCTTCCTTAATGAATAAGAGCTTTCAAAATCACATGACCTCTTCAAGATTCTAGCATTCAACATTGTCACATTGAGGGATAGCATTTCCAACTTATGGAATTTGGGGGATACATTATTTTTTCATTTTGGAGATAAATCCCTGTAATTAGAAATAGAGGGGTTTCTTCTTGTGGTGAAGTGGCTTTGTTCATTGGCTTGGGTTGTAGTTCAGGGGTTTGCTGTTTTGGTCTGTTTCAGACAAGGAGAATAAAAGGAAAATTATAACAGAGTATGGTCTCGAGGCACTTGGATAAATATATTTCAGTAGTGTAGAAGTTAGCCACAATGATGTTGGCTGATGGTAATAGAATCTAAAATATCAATGTATTAAAAGGTCACGTTTACTTCAAGTAAATGTCTACAGACAAGAATACTATGACTAAGTGAAGGTTCTGTTCCGCAAAGCCCTTAGAGACACAGACATCCTGAACTCACAGCTTTACCCTCTCTAGACAGTGCCCAAGATCCAACATTACAGTAAACTGTGAAATGTAAGTTTTATTTATTTTGTGTGTCTGGGTATTTTGCCTGCATGTATGTCTGTGCATCACTTGGCATGCCTGATGACCACAGATTTCAGAAGAGGGCATTAGGTCCCAAGGACCTAGAGTTAAAGATAGTTGTGAGCTGCCAGATGGGTGCTGGGATTCAAACCAAGGTTCTCCGGAAGAGCAACGAGTGCTCTTAACTGCTGAGCTTTCTCCCCAGCCCCTCAAACTCTAGGCTTTAGAGAAGGCAAGCTAAGATATGTGGCACAAGGAGAGTCTCACTGACTCTCAGGAAACTCAGTGATGCCCAACACTTTGTTTTGTGAGCCAGGAGAGGATACTGGAGCTGGTGTACTCTAATCCTGTGACAATAAAGACCCATCATACCTTGAGTGGTAAACGGAATGATGGTGGAGCAGCCTGTGTTCTGTTGATGGAGCTGCATAATTTGCAAGAGAAAGTGTTATCTCAGAGCAACAATTTGTGAAGGGAAAACACTGGGAAAGCACTTACTTATACTGGCAATTTTTAATCAGTCTGTGATTCCCTGAAGCCTAAATCCATAAAGCAGGCACAGGATCCAATTTTAAGAACAGAGGAATTGGAAGAAAATGGGAAATTGGAAGATCTTCTAGGTCCATATCTGTTTATTAAAAGAAGAAAAACAAAAACCTAAGATAAAATTTAAAAGATGTTTGGATGGAAAAGTTTGAAAATATTGACTTCCCACCATCTGAACTGTATCTTAGCCAGTGAATCCTCTGATAATGTGCTATAAACTTTCTAAACACAAAATTTTAATCTGTACCTTTCTTATCCAAGTCCAATCAACACCTATCAGCAAAGTTCACTTTGGCTAGCATATGCCAAGAACGGAAGATGAAGTCTGGAATTTTCAAGGGCTCATCTCCGTGAAAGTTGGAGTCAATGCTCTTCATGTCCTGGGATCATCATTTTCAGTGTGAAAAACAAGTTGTGGCTCTCACATCCTAGCATAAGAATGAGATGATTTCTTCGTGAGCATCTTTGGAAGGTAACATACATTGCTTTAGGAAGAGAAAAACTCCAGCCAAGTCATCATGTGACTTAGAAAGCTTATAGTTGCAGATGAATACCAAAATGAGAGAGTTCTCTTGATCAGATTGAGGCTGCTGTACAAGGTCCCCCGGCCACTTGATCTGTACAACCCGGGAGCCGTGATGATGTTAGAGGTGTTTGCTGTGGATAAGTGCATTAGAGCCCCTTTGGTAAATTCATATAGGAGGTACATCCCCGAGGCTTGGGAGCAAAGAGATTACTTTTACCTAACTGAAGTTCATTTTTAATGCTTTTATTATGCATGTGTGTGTGTTTGTCTATCTGTCTCTCTGTGTGTGCATGCCATGGCACATGTGTGTGGTCAGAGGACAACTTTTTGGTTCTGGGGATCAAAGTCAGGTCCTCCAGCTTGTTCAGTAGGAGCATTGCCTGTTAATACATCTCACAAGCCCATCACCAATTACTTTTTATTTGAATTACAAGCAGCCTCCAGGAGCAGGGGTCAAAGTCTCCCAACTTCCAGCATGAAATTGAAGTTCTGACTCATATGACCTCAGGACATGAATTCTGCCTGAGTTTGGAAGTGGGTCCTTTCCCTGCTCAGCTGCCACATGAGAACTTATTTAAAAATATTGCTTGGAACCAAACTATTGATTGGAACCTTTAAAAGGACCTATTAAACTGTGCCCACACCCTTAAAAATGGTAAGATTTAAAAAAAAGAGAAAGAAAGAAAGGATGAAAGAAAGAAAAGTGGTCCCTTGACAATGGGTGAAGAGACACCTTAGTGGTGGTGTTCTTATATCATTCAGGGGCAGAAAAGATGGCAATCCTTTTGTTTATCCTAGCTTGATGCTTGGCTTTATGGCCAAAGCTGTCTTATGCCTAGGACTCATAAAAATCAAATCCAATCCAGGCAGAACAGTGCGGGAGAAGGAAGACAGACAGATACGTGCGGACCACATCATGTCACCCACAGACCTGACCTCCAGCACATGGCACAGGCGCGCCGTAGACACCCAGTTGCCACGAAGCCATGCAGCAGGGATGGAAGATGTCACCCAGAGACCTGCCAGCTGCGTGGTAGCCAGCCTGCAGCGGGAGCCACCAAAATGTGCTGGTATGCGGTAGACAGATGGGAAAGAAGAAGTGGAGCAGCATGAGTATTATAAAGAGAGATGGAACTAGAGGCTCCAGGGTGGAAAGGAGTAGCCTGTGGTGAGTGCCCAGTCCCATGACCTGGGGCCATAGTGAGGTCCCAGCCAGAGCTGCAACTGAGAGCCATGTCTGGGTCTGTGGCTATGCAACAGCAGAGGTCTATGTTGATGTCCATGGCTCATATTAGCGCCAGAGAACATGGAAACATCCCTTGTCAGGGCTGCTGCCAGGGACCCCGTGGGTGTCCAGGAGCTATGCAGAACTGGCCCTGCTCCTCACTGGCTGTGGCGCTCTGGAGAGTAGGCCCCATCTCTCACCTGCAGCAGCACTCAGGGGGAGAGGGGAGTCAACCAGGTAGCACAGTGGAGCTGACCGTGGCGACAGGAGTGTGAGTGAGCCAGCCCAAGACTGTGGGTATGGGAGAACTGACCGTGCCACCTGTCTGCCGTGGGGTGGCATGTGTGCCAAGGCAATGCCCCCCCCCCCACTTCCAGCAGTCCTGAAAGCTGAGCAGGTTCGTGAACTCGGGAGAGCTATCCCTGCCCCTCACCAACTGCAGCACTGAGGAGAATGAGACCTGCACCTCACCTGGGCAGCACAATAGGGCTGGCCCTGGTCCAGGGGCTACAGAGGAGCAAATCTCAAGGGTGAGAGTGAGGAAGAGCTGGCTCCATCGTGAGGTGGCACGGGTGCGGGGTGATTCCTTCCCAATTCCAACTGGCCACCTGCAGTAGTTGGGGAAGCTGGCCCCGAGGGCATGAGTGGGAAAGCTATCCTTGCTCCCTTACTGGCCGTCTCCTGCACCTCACCTGGGCAATACAGTGGTGCTGGCCCTGATGGCAAAGTCATGGGTGAGCCATCCCCAAGGGTGTGAGAGCAGGAGAGCTTGCCCAAACCCTCGCAGGCTGCAGCATTTGGGAGAGTGGGCCCTGCAACTTGACTGGGCGGCACAGTGGTGCTGGCTCTGATGGTGAGGGCAGCCCCAAGAGCATGAGAGCAAGAAAGCTGACCCTGCCTTCTGCCAGTGGCAGCGTTGGGTGGCCCAGCTGGAGCAGTGCTGGAGAGCTTGGCCTGGTAGTGCAGATAAGGTAGAGCCAGCACTCTGACCACCCAGTGCACTAGCTACCACCCAGACCCAGATCTGGGGCACTGAGTTGGCCCACCCCAAAATTTATATCATCTGCAAATGGTTGGGACACATGAAAGGGCCAGTCCTGCTGAGCCAAAGCTGCAGGATCTCCATGACACAAGGCAACAACAGGATAACCAGGAGGAATCCGATAAGGATCCAGTATCGATGGTGTCACAGAAGCCAGAGACCTCGAGCCAGACCGATGACTCACTGCAGTGAACATCTGCAAGGGAAGATGTGTGGACAGAGGGATACACTGTGGGACAGGCTGACATACTATAGCTTCCATGACAAGATGGTTTCTATGTTTTTTTGTTGTTTGTTTTTTTTATTTTGGGGGGGGGTTGCAAGGGTGGAGGGCAGATATAAGGGGATAGGGAGGTGAGAAGGATTGGGGTGCACGATGTGAAAAAAATAAAAAGGTTCTAAAAAATGTCGTTTAATCCGTTTTGTGTTGTTGTTATTGTTTGGTGGTAGTGGTGGTGGCGTTAAAAATTGTATGTACCTACTGAGATGGTACAGTCTCTCTCGAAAATGGTTTGATTTTTTAATAACATTAATCACAACCAATAATATGACCTCACAACCCCGAAGAAGAGGAAAACAGCTTGTCAAAAAGACTTGTATGGCTGAGTTCATACCAATTTAATTTATTATAATTAAAAGCTCTTTCAAAAACTGAATTTCAATATAAGAATGTGGAACAGAGGAGCCCTGCAAAGTCCAGACACTACAGGAACACAGGCTCCCTGGGGTGGTACGAGTGGACACAAAATGTTCCCTCCAGACATGGAGCCAGCAGCCCTGTGAAGCTGGGACTTGAAGTGCAATACATGTACCATCTGCAGGATCTAGGTGATGGATGCCTGTCTTAGATGTCAGGCTGAAGACAGAGGGATTGTACTGCAGTCTGGAAAGGACAACATCATTCCTTCCATGGTGGCTGTTTCACTTCACGGCTGTAAGTGAAACAACCATCGGTGCCCTTGCTGCCAGGATCCACAGAGGAGAAGAAGTAGTAAGGTTTTTCAGGTGCAGGGGCTGGCAACCCTAGTGGATCTTGAGGTGGAGTGCTGGACAAAAGCTAGAGCACTCCAGTGGGCCAACTCTTCAAAGAGAAAGGAGGCATCTGTGGTTCTTTTCAGAAACTCACTACAATTGAGATAATTTATTAAAGATGGCCTCTTTTTTTCCTCTCCTTAGTTAGAAGTGCCATTTAAAAATAAAAAGGAGAGAATGTCAACATTTGCATGACCTTTATAATTTTCCTCCCAGTGTAAGAGCAGTTGCATTCACAGAAGAACATTTGCATATTTATGCTTGATTGGTTTTTAAAAAGAATGTTACAGTAACAAATAGAACTCAGTTTAATAACTACCCCCTCCAAAGAATGGATGAAGAAATTCTGACATTTAATAAAATACAAAGAATACTGCTTTAAATGGAATAAACTCTTGAAACTCTCCAAACATGAATAAATCTAAAAAGCTTGCTAGGGCAAGAAAACAACACAAAGGGAGTATTTATTATCTATGTGAGCCCACTTATAAGACACTCTAAGACAGACCAGCACAGTCTATACTAAAAGAAACCAGATCAGTGGGTGCTCTGAACAGCGAAGGCAGGCATTGTTTTGGAAAGGGCGATGGTGAGCATGCTTCATGTTTGAGGTGTTGGGCGTACAGGTGTAAGTCTTTGACCAAACTATTTTTAAGATTTATTTTTATTGTTTTTTTTAGTGTGTGTGTGTGTGTGTGTGTGTGTGTGTGTGTGTGTGTGTGTGTACACGCACACATGCGTGCAGACACCTTCAGAAGTCAAAGCCATCAGATCCACTTTGAGCTGTAGGTGATTATGAGTCACCTGATGCGGGTACTGGGACTCAAATTCTGGTCTTCTGGAAGAAGGGCAAGTTCTATTACCACCCAGCCATCCCTCCAACCCCCTGTCCAATCCTTTCAACTATCAGATCTTGCCCTTTACATCCTCAGCAAGCTCTTGGGATTCCTCCTAGGAATCGCCAGCACATGTCAGGCTGATCTTTGACAAAGCTGCTAAGGAAAGCTGATCAATGAGATGCTGCTCATTTAAGCCACTTCAAACAGGCAGTTATAGAGACATAAACACAGAGTGGCCTGGAGTACTGGACCTCAAAGTACAGGCCAAGTGGGATGCCTGGAATCAACTGAAAGAGAATTGTGACAAAGGTGGGGGGAGTAAGAGGACACTGCCTAGCCAGCAGAGTCATACCACCAATGTACTGTGGCTTCCTTTGTTCTGATAGTGCTGCATGGAACATGTTGGAGCATGGAGTCTGGCCATGGCCAAGTCATATTTGGCTCCAGGATAAACTATCTCTTATTCCCTTTGAGGTGAGAGTTGTGGTTTTGTGTAGACAAAGTTGACAGACGATCTCGGGTGTCATCCCTGCCTTGCCTTCCACCACGTGACAGGGTCTCTGCTCTTCTTTACACTGCACACATCAGACTAGCTGGCCCCCAAGTTCCTGTGGATGCTCCTGTCAGATCCCTGCAGGAGCACTTGGGTTACAGGCACTGGTGCTATGCACGCTAGGCTCTTAGGTGAGTTCTGGGGATTCAAATCTCGTGTTCTCCTAAGCTCATGGCAAGTGCTTCTAACCACTGAGCTCTATCACCAGGCTTACCACTGAATTTGGTGTGTGTGTGTGTTGAGTTTATCCTGTTTCTCTCTTGAACTGTTCATTAGTTCTAAGTGTTTTCTGCTGTCATACCCTTTCATGTATAAGATCGTGCCATCTGCGAAGGGGTAAATTGACTTCCTCCTTTCCTATTTGTGTACCTTCTGGGTATGTTTTTTGTTTTTGTTTTTTCCTCTTGACTTATTGCTCTAGTTAGGGCTTTAAGCATTATGATGAATGTGAATGGAGAGCATAGACTGTAGTGTTATCTCTCTCAGATTTTAGGGAAAAAAAAACTGTCATTTCCCCCATCAGCACAATGGTGGCTATGGTTTTATCGTAGCATAGCATCTATTATATGAAGTATATTCCTTCTAATCCTATCATCTTCAAGGCATTCATCATGAACAGGTGTTGAACCTTTTCTGCACTGATGGAGATTGATGGACCTTAAGCCTATTTATGTATACTTACTGATTTGCATATGTTGAGCCAAATTTTCATCCCTGCAGTGAAACCAACTTAGTCATAGTTAGTGTGATCTAAGCACTATCTTTTTAATGTGTTCTTGAATTTGATTTGCAAGCATTTTATTGAGAATTTTCCATCTGTACTCAGCAGAGAAATTGGTCAATAGTCCTTGTATGAATGTGTGTGTGTCTGTGTGTGTGTGTGGTTTGGATATTGGAGTGATGGGGCTTCAGGAGAAGAATTCAGCAGTATTACTTCTCTTTCTGTTTTTAAATTTGTATTTACTTGTATTGTTTGTGTGTATGTGTGAGAGAGAGAGAAAGAGAGAGAGAGAGAGAGAGAGAGAGAGAGAGATTGCTAGTGGGTACCCATGGAGGCCAGAAGAGGGCATCAAATCCCTTGAAGCTGGATTTACATGCAGTTGTGAGCCCCCCTGACATGGGTGCTGGGACCTGAACTTGGATCCTCTGGAAAAGCA